CTTCCTCTTGCTGCAGAGAGGCCTGTTATCTTGCTGTGGGGTGGGGGACAGAAATGTAAGTGTGCTACAAGGTTCAGGTCACAAGCTCCAGGTTGGGGGGGCAGGGGCGTTGCCAACCTATCTTCTAAGGCAGGTGTAGGCAACATTTTTTGGCTGGAGCACCGAAAAAACCACAGTGTCTACCTTGGAAGGTGCCAGAGCGCTGGCATGCTGGAGCCTGAAGCAGCTGTTTGCAGCCTCCTGGCTGCAGCTAGCCCAGGGAACCCAGTCTGCCTGCAGCAGGGCTTGCAACCTCCCAGCTGCCTGCTGGGAGCAGCCTGGGCTCCGTGGCTGGCAGCAGCTGCTTGGAGGCTGGCAGTGGTGTGCCAAGCAAAATGGCCATGCCATGCTTGGCACGTGTGCCAGGGGTTGCTGACCTCTGTTCTAAGGAATGAATAAGCTACCCTTAGGAAAAAACGGCATAAATATTTTGTTAACCCTGGAGACTAAAAATTACAGAAAGTTTATTACATGTGTACATAAAATAAGCTGTTTTTTGGGGAATTTTGGGGATTCTGAAATTGTTATTTTTAATTAAGAAATGTCAGTTTCAAAAATTGTACAACTTGATAATGGGTTTCAAGACACGTTGCTTCTCTGGTTAAAAAAAAGAAAAATATGTTTAGTTACTTTCCAGAAAATGGAAAGGGTTTTACTGTGATAACCGAAAAGGGCACATTTAAATCAATAAAAGTATATGAGTATAACCACCATGCCAACATTCTTGTTCCTGTGTAAAAGTGTCTTCTTGCCTTAATTTATCAGTTGGGCAGGGTTTTAAATTAAACCACAAAGCAACTGCTCTCAGTGTCCACAAAGGAGACCATACCAGTATAAATATATTGATAAACTCTTTGTAGACAAGCCTTCAAGTTTTGTGCTCTGATTTAACTAAAGAGATTTAGAAACCAAACTCTGTTGGTGTATACACTTTAATTTGTTTATAAATATCTTTAGATAGATTTAACTTAGATTTAATTTAAAAAGATTATACACACCTATTTAACTAAATTGGTTTAGGAGCTGATTTAGGTAGATCAGTGCACAAACTTTGTATAGAGCAGCCCTCGTGTTGCAGTGTTTCCACTTCCAACGCATAAAGGGAACATTAACAAACAACTGGTTTAATTTGTTTTAAAGTCAACATTTCTAATGGTTTCAATTTTGTAAAAGCTTACCATTATAAAATCATTACATTTGGAACTGAGTTCCTTTTGCTAATGTTCATTTAATTTTACAGTTAAAAAATGATTATAAAATAATTTTCCTTTTCTGAAGACGTAATCTTTCATGATCCGCACTTCTAAATTTTAACTCCTTAAAATAAAACTGGGAGAACTCTCCTACTTCTGGAGTTAATTTTTGACAACTCCAACCCTTCCCCCTCCCTCCTTCCTATCTATCCAGGACAAGATGATAAACATAAGCACAGTCTGACAAAAAAAATCTGAAAAAAGGGAATTCCCAAACTCTGAAGATACTTGGGCAGATGACTGAGGATCCTGGAAAGTGATCTATTCAAAGAAGCAGAATTACATAGTGATTAATTATTTCTTACTAAAAAAATAACTCATCTGCCTCCTGGAATAAGATCAAGGGATGTCTCAGAAGCAAAATGAGCATAAAGCCACAATAAGTAACAACAACAAGGCTACTGCCAACAATGTGACACAACATTCAGCATGAGACCCACATGCAAGTTTACAGAGTGAGACAGAAATTATAAGAAAACGCTGTGCAAGAATTGGCCAGAGGCTCAGAAAAAAACAGAGAAGACAGAAATTCCAAGTACCAAAATAGCAGTGTTGAGACATCAAGAATAAACTGAACACAAAATGCCACAGGAAATACTGCAAAGTGCCTGAAGCAAAAGCCTCAACAATTTAGATAAGCAAGTTTGTTTAAAGGTCATAAATAATACCATAGTCATTTCACTGGAACATAGTCATGTGTTAGACCAAAAACCAACAGAATATACTCTTCCCTAAGCAACCCTAGACAAAAAATAACAGTAACATTTGGAAGGCAGCATTTACACTTGACAGGGATTCTGCATATGACAGTCTCTAGTGTGCTTGGATTGCTCCTTGCCATGCTGCTTGGGATGCAGACGAGCTAAGGAATTCAGGGTCTCCATTGCGGGTTCCAAAGTAAGAAGCAAAAACCGAAACAAGATTCTTGATGAATGGGATCCTTAAGAAAGTATTACTATTATTAGAAAGTACAGTCAGAGCATTTTACAGTACTATAACTCAAATACAGCTGGCCTGGTGCCATGCCCTAATATTGATTCTTGAATATTATATCTGTGTGCAGCAGCATTTACTCCTGCTGCTGGTGTCCTGCTATTGGTGATTGATCTGCCTAGAGCAGGGGTTGTCAACTGGGGGTATGCATACCCCTAGGGGTATTTAGAAAGG